CAAATCAGATCTGATTGGTACAGGAGGAGATTGTCCCTCCTTCCCCAGCAGAGCATCTGGTGGATTCGAACCGTCTTTCTTCTTTCTTTCATCTTGCTCTCTCTTGATTTCTTTCCCTTCCTTCTCTTCCTTCCTTCCTTCCTCCCTCCCTACCTCTCTCTCTTTCTTTTCTCCTCTCCCTCCCTCCCTCCTTCTCTCTCTCTCTCTCTTTCTTTCTCTCTCTTTCTTTCTTTCATCTTTCGCTCTCTCTCGATTTCTTTCCCTTCCTTCTCTTCCTTCCCCCCTCTCTTTCTTCCTTCCTTTTCTTCTTTCCCTCCCTCCCTCCCTTCCTTCTTTCTCTTTCTCTTTTTTCTATGTTCAAGATTATTATTTTTTAATAGTCTTTATTTCCATTCGACCATTGTTGCACATTTTCCTCCCTACCCACCCCATCCTTCCAGGTCACTTCTCTCTTTGGAAAAAAAAATTCTCATTGTTGTACAATCCCCCCCACACCCCACCCAGTCCACTTGCTATGCACCTTTTATTCTGGACTATTGTCATGCAAATAATACTTAATCATATATTCCTTCGAAGCAGTTCTTTCCCTCATCTGTTTCCATGCAGTGTATTATCCCCTCTTTTATTAGTTTCCTCCCCAACCCCCATGCCAGTCCTGTTTTATAACAGTGGCCCTATGCAATATTTGTCCTTTTGTAGTTGAGATGTTTCACCCAGCATAATGTCCTCCAGAGTCACTAATTTTGTATGCTATTTCATGAGTTCTTTGTTTTTCAGTGTAGCATAGTATTCCATTGTGTGGATATACCACAGCTTCTCTATCCATTCGTTTGCTGATGGGCACTTGGCTTGTTTTCAACTTTCTGATAAAGCACCGAACGACTGTTCACGGTGGTTGCCCGACTTTCCAGTCCCACCCCCCATGTATGAGAGCTCCAATCTCTCCACACACTTGCCAGCATATGTTGTTTATTGTTTACTGTCTTATTGAATTTTGCTGTTGTTGCGTGGAAAAAATAAAACTTTTTGTTCCATGTCTGAAA